CCTCGGCTCCCCGTGGGCTGTTGCAAGAATGAAGTCATCCAAACGATTATGCAAATAAAGCTGACAATTCGCATCGCATTTGCTGCTCTCTCCGTTAAATTGAAATAGTTAGCAAGCTAATATTTGCTTATGGAACAAAGATGTAATGGTGTGGCACATGAAGCGCCTGCACATTTTCTTTCTGTATTCCCCCAGAGAAGTTTACCTATTTTAATGTCCCAGAGCGCTGCACACCACACTCTGTTATGCTTTCCAATCTACCCAGAGGCAAGTTGTCGCTAGGAGTTACCGAGGGGAATATGAGGGAAAAGTGATTCTGCTGGCTATGCAATCCACAGTAAATACCCACAACTAATAAAGGCAAAATGTAAAACCGCACTTGCACACAATGCACAAAAAAATCCAGATTCCCTTCAGCACCTCCGAATAATTCCTCATGAAAAGCTGTACTTCGCTATAATGATGTTCATTTTGATGTCAGAGGCTCCCTATTAGTAGTGTTTTTGCCTAATCTCATCATGACTTATTTATGTTTTCCAAACTGAGCCTGTCAAACAGATGACCGCTGAGCTGTTCAATGCCACCCTAGACTCAGACTGCTGGCTCTATGTTGGCTGTGTTTCCTATTGATGGACTGGCAGCAGCGTGATGTAAATCTATGTAACTCGTTGAGAAGCAGGTCCAAGGCAGCAATACAACACCGAGACGTCTCTCTGCTATGTTAACCTTAAGAGGAGTGGAGGAGTCTCTCCAACTGGACCCTGAATGCTATCTGACCCCAGTGGGCCCAACAGATCATTGGTGATTCACACATTTCCTGTATGACTTTTGTAAAAGTGTACTTTATTTTTCTGCCTCTCTTTCTCTTTCTTTCCCTTTCGTCTGTTTCTCTCGTAGAGAGCACTGGTGTGAGCGCCCCCTCCCTGCTCCCCTCCCTCTCTGCCTTATTACTCCTGGTGCCCATGGTTGCTGCGGCTGTCAGCGTGTTGCTATGGAGACAGAGACACATTTCTCGACGTGGTAAGTCTTCCGGCGCTTTCATTTCTTGACAGTTCCCCGTGTCCTCTCCATCTTGTGTCCCCTCAGCTGTGATACGGACCATGACATCCTGTGTGGCTGATGAAATGACTCTGGCCTCTCTGCGTGTTTGTGCATTTGTTTGTTTATGCGTGCGTGTGGGTGTTTCTACGTGTGCACGTGTATGTGTGTGCCTGTTTTTCTTTGTGTGCGTGTGTGTGTGTCCCTGTGCATGGGTGTTGGTGTGCCGGTGTGTGTATGCCTGTGCATATTTGTGTGTGTGTGTGTGTGTGTGTGACACTGTACATGCATGTGTGTGTGTGTGTGTGTGTGTGTGTCTGTGTCCTAATGCAGGTATTGAACAGTCCCTCTCTCATCACTCTTGGGAGGCGGAGAACATCTATGAGAATCCTGAGGACATGAGACTGGTGATTTATGCTCTCTCCACATCTCAATAATCTGATGAATTTCATTGCTCTCTTCGCCTCCTCCTGTACTGTTCTCCCTCTTCCCACGCTCATCCTCTACTTACTTGTTCTTACCTGTCTTTCTCCTTCCTTCTTTCCGTGCTCTACCTTTTGCATGCGTTTTTTTCTCAATTGCAACTATTATTTTCTCTCTCTCTCTCTCTCTCTCTCTCTCTCTCTGCCTCTTTGTCTCTCTCTCTTGTATTTTTCTTTACAAGTACGCCTCCTTCATCTACCCGCTCCTTTTCATTGTCCTGTCCACCCCTAGTTCCCTGATTGGTTGGTTGTTAAAGCTGGTTTGTTGTGCTTCCTCCTCCCCAACAGACGTCTCCACAGGGCTCCGTCTACATGGTGAGCTATTGTGTCTTGTGTGTGTGTGTGTGTGTGTTACCAGATGCATGTGTAGTAGTGACAAAAAGTGTTTGCGACTGTGACAGGAAAAGCACATAGACACACACAGCTTTCCCTTTCTCTTTTGCTTCACCCAGAGCTGTCAGCAGATGTCTCTCGCTCACATTCTCAGTCATCCTCAACCACCAACCGTCCACCCATTTTCAGAAAAACTTGTCGACAGGCCACCATCTTACCTTACATTAGTGATATTAACAAATCAATTGCATCACACTCTAGAGAGAAATAAATTGAACCCCCCCGTGCCACGGGTCTCCCTCCTCTTCCTTCTCCTCACTTCGCCCCTTTGCACTTTCCTGCCTGTCTCATCTTATTTCTCTCTCGACCTTGTCAGGATTTGAAACCAGGAGAAGGAGACAATGTCTACAAGGAGTTGGATCGGTGAGAAGACAGCCTTTACCTGTGTGCCTGTGTGGATACCTAGACTGCAGTCTATTTTTATGTGGCCTTTTTTTTAACATGCATTTATATTAGTCCTGTGTGTGTGTGTGGTGTGTGTGTGTGTGTGGTGTGTGTGTCAGCACACACACACACACACACACACACACACACACACACACACACACACACACACACACACACACACACACACACAGGACTAATATAAATGCATGTTAAAAAAAAGGCCACATAAAAATAGACTGCAGTCTAGGTATCCACACAGGCACACAGGTAAAGGCTGTCTTCTCACCGATCCAACTCCTTGTAGACATTGTCTCCTTCTCCTGGTTTCAAATCCTGACAAGGTCGAGAGAGAAATAAGATGAACAGGCAGGAAATGCAAAGGGGCGAAGTGAGGAGAAGGAAGAGGAGGAGACCCGTGGCACGGGGGGTTCAATTTATTTCTCTCTAGAGTGTGATGCAATTGATTTGTTAATATCACTAATGTAAGGTAAGATGGTGGCCTGTCGACAAGTTTTTCTGAAAATGGGTGGACGGTTGGTGGTTGAGGATGACTGAGAATGTGAGCGAGAGACATCTGCTGACAGCTCTGGGTGAAGCAAAAGAAAGGGAAAGCTGTGTGTGTCTATGTGCTTTTCCTGTCACAGTCGCAAACACTTTTTGTCACTACTACACATGCATCTGGTAACAACACCACACACACACACAAACACAATAGCTCACCATGTAGACGGAGCCCTGTGGAGACGTCTGTTGGGAGGAGGAAGCACAACAAACCAGCTTTAACAACCAACCAATCAGGAACTAGGGTGGACAGGACAATGAAAAGGAGCGGTAGATGAAGGAGGCGTACTTGTAAAGAAAAATACAAGAGAGAGAGACAAAGAGGCAGAGAGAAAGAGAGAGAGAGAGAGAGAGAAAATAATAGTTGCAATTGAGAAAAAAAACGCATGCAAAAGGTAGAGCACGGAAAGAAGGAAAGAAAGACAGTAAGAACAAGTAAGTAGAGGATGAGCGTGGGAAGAGGAGAACAGTACAGGAGAGGCGAAGAGAGCAATGAAATTCATCAGATTATTGAGATGTGGAGAGAGCATAAATCACCAGTCTCATGTCCTCAGATTCTCATAGATGTTCTCCGCCTCCCAAGAGTGATGAGAGGACTGTTCAATACCTGCATTAGGACACAGACACACACACACACACACACACACATGCATGTACAGTGTCACACACACACACACACACACAAATATGCACAGGCATACACACACCGGCACACCAACACCCATGCACAGGGACACACACACACGCACACAAAGAAAAACAGCACACACATACACGTGCACACGTAGAAACACCCACACGCACGCATAAACAAACAAATGCACAAACACGCAGAGAGGCCAGAGTCATTTCATCACCACACAGGATGTCATGGTCCGTATCACAGCTGAGGGGACACAAGATGGAGAGGACACGGGAACTGTCAAGAAATGAAAGCGCCGGAAGACTTACCACGTCGAGAAATGTGTCTCTGTCTCCATAGCAACACGCTGACAGCCGCAGCAACCATGGGCACCAGGAGTAATAAGGCAGAGAGGAGGGGACAGGAGGGCGCTCACACCAGTGCTCTACGAGAGAAACAGACGAAAGGAAAGAAAGAGAAAGAAGGCAGAAAAATAAAGTACACTTTTACAAAAGTCATACAGGAAATGTGTGAATCACCAATGATCTGTTGGGCCCACTGGGTCAGATAGCATTCAGGGTCCAGTTGGAGAGACTCCTCCACTCCTCTTAAGGTTAACATAGCAAGAGACGTCTCGGTGTTGTATTGCTGCCTTGGACCTGCTTCTCAACGAGTTACATAGATTTACATCACGCTGCTGCCAGTCCATCAATAGGAAACACAGCCAACATAGAGCCAGCAGTCTGAGTCTAGGTGGCATTGAACAGCTCAGCGGTCATCTGTTTGACAGGCTCAGTTTGGAAAACATAAATAAGTCATGATGAGATTAGGCAAAAACACTACTAATAGGAGCCTCTGACATCAAAATGAACATCATTATAGCGAAGTACAGCTTTTCATGAGGAATTATTCGGAGGTGCTGAAGGAATCTGGATTTTTTTGTGCATTGTGTGCAATGCGGTTTTACATTTTGCCTTTATTAGTTGTGGGTATTTACTGTGGATTGCATAGCCAGCAGAATCACTTTTCCCTCATATTCCCCTCGGTAACTCCTAGCGACAACTTGCCTCTGGTAGATTGGAAAGCATAACAGTGTGGTGTGCAGCGCTCTGGGACATTAAAATAGGTAAACTTCTCTGGGGAATACAGAAAGAAAATGTGCAGGCGCTTCATGTGCCACACCATTACATCTTTGTTCCATAAGCAAATATTAGCTTGCTAACTATTTCAATTTAACGAGAGAGCAGCAAATGCGATGCGAATTGTCTTATTTGCATAATCGTTTGGATGACTTCATTCTTGCAACAGCCCACGGGAGCCGAGGAGGAGGTCCTGGTTCCTACAGAAATGAACGCTTTGATGGTTGATCCACCAAAGAATAGTGAAGGTTGGGCCGCAACGACTGCATGTGTGCTATCTATATAATCAAGTAGAAACAGCATCACTGAAAGTTAGAAATATAAGGATCATACAACAAAATTACATAAAAAAAGAAAGAACAATGGTCTGAAAAATTGTCCTGTGTAGCTTGAGTGGTAGAGCATGGCATTAAGACTGCCAGGGTTTGGGTTCAATTCCCATGCTTAGAATGCATGCAATAGAAGCGTCCACCAAATGGTATAAAAAACCAATAACATAAACACCGTTCCAGAAAAATAGTCAAGATAAATATATAGAAATGATGTATTGAAACGAATGACTTTTGGATATTCCATCACTTAAAATGCATGCAGGTATAAACTGATAAAGAGTTTGTTTGTTATAGACTCCTGGTAACCACTTCTTTCCAGCCAGACTTGCATTCAAGTACCCACAACTATTTCTAAAAGCCTCTGCCTTTAGAGCTCACCTTAGCCCTGTTGTCGGGCATCTTGCTGGCCTCTTTGTAATCAATCATTATGTGTGAGAGGAAATTGATTGGTGTGTGTGAGTGTGTGTGTATGTGTGTGTATAAAGACTAGGCTAATGGAATATTGTGGTGGAGCTGACCCCCGTACTGACCTGCACAGTATACAATGCCAACTTGAACGTATGAATTATGGTAATTTGCAGTGGAGCGAAGGCATAAATACCCCGAATTTTTCTCTACCCCATCTCTCACTCCTCCACTCTCTCCTGTCTTTCTTCTTATCTTTCCATTCTCCACCGGCCACCCTTCCTCGTCTTTTTTCATTTCAACGAGACAGAGTCATATCAGCGTGATTGTGGATAAGGGTTGCATATAGGAGACAGACCATAACTACTCCAATACTTTGTAAATGACGGTCCTACATATAGCAAATGAGGTATTTTGTGCAAGATGTAAGATGATTGCTATTTGAGGTGGTAATGCAGTCTGCCTCGGTTCTGCATTGTCTTGTATTTGACGTTGACTTTGACTGGCTTGTAATTGCTAATCAACATCACACCTCGTGGTAAAATAGGGTCCTTTAACTGTAAGAAAGATCTATCTATCTATCTATCTGATATTTATAATCTAAAGAAAGAGAAGCAAAGCCTTTTTTAGATTTAAATTCTGTAACTACTTTAATTTCCATATGCACGGTGAACAGCACCACAGCACCATTTCAATGATGATGCAATAATAATGTGAACGCACGACCATTATACATCAGCCCTGTCTCCATGACGATTTCAAGCATTGTACAAAATGTGGGATAGCCACACTCATGAATTATTTGGTGTCGCCTGTGCTACCAGCTTCCATTGTGGCAGATCATGAACCACATAGTCACTTGCTATAGCTTCTCCTCTTCAATGCTGTGCATTACTATGTAATGCTCCTGACATGAGCATTGCTCTCTCTCTCTCTCTCTCTCTCTCTCTCTCTCCCTCTCTCTCTCTCTCTCTCCTCTCTAAGTCTCTCTCTAAGTCTCTCTCTCTCTCTCTCTCTGATGCTCTCAGTCTGACTCTTCTCTCACTGTGTATTCCCTCCATCTCCATCACTCTTGCTACAGTACTACCACGTGCATCACAATGAGCTCTGGCCTCTCCACACAAGTGATGTATCAGGGCGGTGTGAGACAGAGCTCATCACTGCTAAGAGATCCATTCAAGTGTCATGTAACCCTGTGTGCACCCCCCCCCCCCCCCGCCTTGCAGCCACTAATACAATAGGCCTGAATTTTACTCTCTGGCTCAAGCTATAGTATCTTTTCAGGTCTTCTCCACCACCTAGATCCTCATATAATCCCCAACAGCCAGAGTGGAGTCATTTAACACTTTCCATTCATCTCATTGAAGATATCACTCTTTGCACTGCTCTTTGACCAGCAGCACTAAATGATGCCCATTAATACTATGTGTTCAAACTGCAGCAATTACACACACAATGATCCTGACCCTGTGCAATGATTCACTGAAATACATTTCACAACCAGCAAGCAATCAGAGTCTACTATCTCGTATAGAGTCTAGTCTAATGGAAATTATGAATTGATACACCTTGTGAATCGATACACAGAACAATACAGCTAAGACTATAGCATACAGAACTTATAATCACACCCAAAGACTATACAAGACTACGAGGATGACTAATTGTAAATCCACAATGTGGATACATCCACAATGTGGATTTACCTCGTAAACCCAACGATACACATGCAGCTCACATAGCCTAACAATCACACAATATTATTTAAGACCCTTTTATAAGGAAGCATTTAGTTAGTTTTAGTTAGTTTCTAGTTATCATTTTATTGTTTTAGCTCTACTTGTATGTTGTTTTAGCCCTGTACAGCACTTTGAGATTTCTTGAATGAAAAGCACTTTATAAATAAAGTGAATTATTATTATTATTGTTGTTGTTTGTTGTTGTTGTTATTATTATTATTTGTATTTGTATTAGTATTATTATTATTATTATAGAGCTGGTCTGAAGCTTTGTCTCCCACCTTAGTGGGCAGTGTGATTGTGTATACTGCCCAGATCTCCTGTCCGTTCTTTAGCCGCAGGGTGCAGGTGTAGTTGCCGCGTGTTGGCACTGATGGCAGCTGATGTTACTATGGCGAGCCGATGCTGGACTGAAACGCTGCAGTCGTGATGCCGGTTCTGGTAGGTCCATCCCACCTGCTGGACCTGGGACCAGGCTGAATAGTAGCAGCATAAGTGCAGCGAAGTGGACTTGGGTGAGGGAATGCCTCGGACTGGAATATGAGCAAGGAAGGGAAGATACATTGTGAATGACTGCAGTTGAGTGGTGCTAGCTTTTGGAGCTACCACCTTTTCTAGCTAGGCTCCTAGTCAAAGCGTGAAAGTGTCAAAGTGTTTTAATTAAATGCACAGTTTAAGACAGGTCATTCTGGACGATTCAACTGTTGCAACAACGCAAGTGAAGATGTAATGAATATAAAATAAGCATAAAATATGTAATAAAATAAAATAGAAATAGAAAAATGTATCAACATAAAATGTATAAACTATACAATACAATAAAGTGAAATATCAATACAGTGACCAAGTGACTATAGGCTATGCCATCTTAGCACAGGCTACAACTCGCTGCGTGGTGTGAGGTGACTTTCTCAAGGATGCTTCAAATCTCAACCAACCGGGGGATCGAATCAAGAATGTTGACCAAGAAACAACTACTAATGGTAACAATTGAGGACATAAACATAAAGACACACGGTAACAAAGAAAAGGCCAAGGATAAAGAGAAGGGAAAAAGAACAGCAGCTGGTGAAAAAAACACGATGAACAATCCACTGAAGGGTCAAAATAATATATATTCATTAAAGCCATTTGGTGCTAATGTGTTGCTTGACTGTGACTGCTTAGTCTCATCAAACTAAAATGTGAATCCATCTGAGTGTAATCAAGCCACACAGACCTATACAAACCCTTATGCACTGGCACGCATATCACACACACACACACACACAACACACACACACACACACACACACACACACACACACACACACACACACACACACACACACACACCAACACATTTCAGTCTTGATTAGAGTTATCAGTGTGCCACCGGTTGCGTCTTGTGGTGGGAGGCACAAGTATAATCATACATAATGATACTTTTATGAGGTGGGGTAAAAATATATGTGTCACATGATTGGTGTTGTGTGTGTATGTTGTGTGGGAGAGATGGAGAGAGTGTGTGTGGGTGGTTTTTATGACAGATTTGTGAAATGTGTGCATGGAAGAGAGCAAGAGAGAGGGAGGGAGACAGAGAGAGAGATTGTGTTTGTGTTTGTTTGAAAAACAATAAAAGGTTGCCGGTATGTGTGTGTGTGTGTTTGTGTTTATGTATGTATGTGTGTGCATGTTTAGCATGAGCCTGTGTGTCAATGCAGGTTCGAGAGACTTGTGTGTGCATATGTGTGTGTGTGTGTGTGTTGTGTGTGTGTGCTGTGCGTGTGAAAGATGTGTGAACAGGTTGACAGTGACAGATGGGCTGATCATGTGTGGGCACGTGATGGATGCCAGCATGGCCGTGATTAGTATAGCATCTCAAGGCCGTGAAGACAGTGTAATGCTGTTCCAGCATGTGATGTCAGTGCAGTGTAAAAAGTGGTGGTATTGCACGTATACAACTAGATGACCCCTTTGCTCAGCTATCAACCTAAAAATCCTCAAAAATACAGATTGTAAGATAATAAGTTATGATAAGATGGTACACTGTATTAACCACAGCAGTGATCTAAGTACCGGACACTTGTGTAATTTTAGTAAATAAACAACTGAAAATAAACCCAGAAATATATCTACCAGTATGTTCACAATACGACTAGTAGCAACATTTAAATTCAAAAATGAAATATATCATTATCGTTATCAACATATTATCATATAATGCATTATCCACTCTGGCCTCCCCTACCCCATAGCTACCTTTGAGCACGCTCAGCTTGGTCGACTGCTGTAGCGTTTGTTATTGAAGTAGACCATACAGATGTAGAGACCGCCGTCTTCGACCAACGGCTTCATTAGGAAGGAGAAGCTGCCGGTCTGGGCGTTATAAGGCGGCCCCCCGTTTGAGCACGGGACCCTTCTTCTGCTCCTGTGAGTCCCTCCAGCGGTCGTACTGGTACAACTGCTTGATCTCTTGCTTCTTGTCCATGTTCTGCCAGTAGACCTGCACGTAGTCGCCCTGGATAGGCGGACAGGACAAGGAAAAGGGCACACCACGATGCTGGCGGTGGAGATTTGATGACCTGTACGATACGAGAGAGACATAGGGTATGAGTATGAGAGAGAGAGTTGGGGAGGGGAAGAGAGAGACAGAGGAGAGAGAAGATTTGAAGGCCTGTGGATGAGAGATACATTCACATTTAGGGCATTAGCAGACGCTTTTGTCCAAAGCGACTTACAATAAGTACATTTGTCAGAAGAAAGTGCAACAGTAAATCGCTGTCATACAGTAAGGATGTCAACTAGAACAAGTTTCAAGCATTCCCATTGTCAAGTTAACCCACTGCTAACCCAACAGAGATAAGTGCTAAGATACTAAGCGCAAAATATTGTAGTGCCAGTACATGCAAACATAAGTGCTAAGTTTTTTTTTTTTTTTTGTGAGCTATATAGAAGTGAGATAGTGGTGAATATATAGAGAGAGTATGAGAGAG